CTGGGGAGGCCTTGCTAGGGGGTGACCGCACCTCCTTGCACCCGGGGCAAAGGGTGCCTCCTGGCCAGGGCGCCTGGGTGGGTCCCTCTCCCCTTCTCCACGCACGTCCGTCTCGGTCTCCGCAGCCTCTTCCCGCCTTGCCTCCTCTGCCCCGAGGGGAAGGGAGCTGACAGGCTTCCCTCCTCCGGCCGCGAACCTTCCCCGGCTCCGTCCCCTCCTCGGGGCGCGAGAAGGCCAGCGCCAGCGCGGGCGCTGAGCGCCGGCCGCCCTGCTCTCCACCTGCAGACCCCGCCGACGCTGCGCCAGGATGTGCGACGACGAGGAGACCACTGCTCTGGTGTGCGACAATGGCTCGGGGCTAGTGAAGGCCGGCTTCGCGGGGGATGACGCGCCCCGCGCCGTCTTCCCCTCCATCGTGGGCCGCCCACGCCACCAGGTAAACTTCCCGCTCCGCCTGGCCTGCTCTGGCCCCTGCCAGTCCCCGGCCTGCCACCTCCTCAGTCCAGCCATCTAGGAAATGTGTCACCTGCCCTTCCTGTTGCATGCACTGCTCAGGTCAAATAAGGAAAGGATGCATTTAGCCTGAAATCCAAGCCCGGACAAGCAGTGCTCACACCACGAGCAACATACCACCAACCACCGCCGCTCGTCCCCCTTCCACTTTGCAGGGACACAGCCCTCCAGGGGTCCCACGCCCTGTGTGAAAAACCAGGAGCTTCTCTCCTCCACCCCTGCCCTACGTTTTTAGTACTCAGTGTCTTCCCTGCCCCTTCAGTTTCTAACTTGGCCTCCCTTGTCAGTCCTGCTCAAGACTCGTAACACTGTAACTTCTCCCAACCTACCAGGACCCAACCCACATTCCTCCCTCGTGTTCACAGCCAGCTCACTGGGCTCCCAAAGGATGTAAATCTCTCTGCTTCCTGGCTGTTGCATTTTTAGAAGCCGGGCGTGACAGAGGCAGCAAGTGCCATGGTGATAGTGACATACCACCTTGTTTATTAAAAGAGATGCCAGGCTCCCCGGCTCCGCCGGCTGCCCGGCCAGACGAGCCGCCGAGGAGGAGAGCTGTGTTGTCGGGGCTGGTGGCTGATGGGTTCCACAGGACAGCGCTGGGCCCGCTGGATTGCAGGGGCAGAGTGATAATGGCATAGCAGCCCATCTTTTTATGTTCAATTGATGAATGTCAAAATCTTTTCTTAGGAGAAACACAGTGTGTCATTAATTTAGTCATTCCACAGGGTAGTCATTTATATTCCGGTCGACATGGGTGATGAACTTAATAATTTAATGAAGGCATCATGGTATTTTTAAAATGAGGTGAGGCTATACTTCTTTGGTGAAATAGCTTTATTCCCCTTTCCCCAGTTTTATCCTAAAGGACAGAATTGTACCTGGGGAGAGTGTGTGTGGGGGTGGGGGGAAGGTACTAGATTGATTTTAAGTGATATTTCTAAACTGGGGTAAAATTCTATTTTTTATTGTTTCTGGTATTTAAAAGGTGTGCCTTGACTTGGGCAGTTAGATGTAAATTTATAAGGCATCAGTTACATTCCTAAAATAGCGGAAGCTTGATTTCCCCATCTTTTTCTTCGTATAGGGAGTCATGGTGGGTATGGGTCAGAAAGACTCCTACGTAGGTGATGAGGCCCAGAGCAAGCGAGGTATCCTGACTCTCAAGTACCCTATTGAGCACGGCATCATCACCAACTGGGATGACATGGAGAAGATCTGGCACCATACCTTCTACAACGAGCTCCGTGTGGCCCCTGAGGAGCACCCCACTCTGCTCACGGAGGCCCCACTGAACCCTAAGGCCAACCGTGAGAAGATGACCCAGATCATGTTTGAGACCTTCAATGTCCCTGCCATGTATGTGGCCATCCAGGCGGTGCTGTCCCTCTATGCTTCTGGCCGTACCACAGGTAAGTTTGGGCTGTGGAGACACTCACTGATTCACCACGTCCCAAAGTCACTGACCTTGCTATGAATCAGCTTCCCTCACACTCCCTGGGAAGGTGTCCTTGAGAAGAGAAGGAGGTAACAATAGTTTCAGATCCCATGCATTTCTACGAGTTGAAAGCACATGGAGTTAGATCTGGACCTTTCCTAAAGTATGTGACGCCACACACTTGAGGCTCCACACGATGTATAAACCTGGAACGTAGCCATCGCTGTTATGTGTTCCATACCAACACAGCCCCTGGGCACACGGCCCCAAGGAGAACCGACAGTCCCTACAGGGTCTGAGTCAAAAGAGAGAGAACGTGTGCAAATCAGATGGGAGGAAAGAAAAACACGCCTGGATGCTCCCATAACGTGCTAATGGCTGGTAAAAAGGATGGTCATTTGAAAGTGTCCTGGGGAAATTTTTCTACTACAATATTTAAAAGGGTGAGCTGTTGCTGGCTTCAGATTTAGCCCTCGTTATGCCCATTTTTATTCTGTGTGTGTAAGGAATCTAATTTGATCTGGATCCATGCCCAGCGCGAGCATCTTTTAGCCGAGATTGGAAGTGGGCTTTGACACAACTAAAGCAGTGGTGTCCTCAGGGATTTACTTTGTTCCCGTCTGTTTCTTCCGACAGGCATTGTTCTGGATTCTGGGGATGGTGTAACTCACAACGTTCCCATCTACGAGGGCTACGCTTTGCCCCATGCCATCATGCGTCTGGATCTAGCTGGTCGGGATCTCACTGACTACCTCATGAAGATCCTCACTGAGCGTGGCTACTCCTTTGTCACCACCGGTGTGTGTGTGTGTGTGTGTGTGTATGTGTCTCATCTGCCACAGCATTGTGTCTGCTTTTTTCCTCCGCCAGAGAATCTACCTACCCCCTTTCAGTTGACTTCATTCTCCAGAGCTTGACTCTGCTACCCTTTATCTCTGCAGCTGAACGTGAAATCGTCCGCGACATTAAAGAGAAGCTGTGCTATGTTGCCCTGGATTTCGAGAATGAAATGGCCACGGCTGCCTCTTCCTCATCCCTGGAAAAGAGCTACGAGCTGCCCGATGGCCAAGTCATCACCATTGGCAACGAGCGCTTTCGCTGCCCTGAGACACTATTCCAGCCCTCATTCATCGGTGAGTGGTAGGGTCTGGCGCAGGGGCCTGGCTCTTCCCTAAGACATCTAGGGGTCCCCCAGAGTAAAACTGATTCTCATCAAGAAGGATTAAGGGGCCCTTGAGGTAAAAGAAGTCACAGCTCAGAGTCCCACACAGCTCAGCCTCAGATCCTGAGGGCTCATTAAAGGGATGGCCATCCTGTTCTGTTGCAGTGATATGATAAAGGATGACACGCTGACTTCATGTCAAAATAAAGAATGAGACAGAGTAGTGATTGAAGAATCTGTATCTGCAGGAAAGGAATGGTTATTCAGAAGTGCTGACTTATTCCAGTAAGTCCATTACCCAGTAGCTGGACTTCCTCTGAAGTTACTCATCATTAAATGCAACCATACACGAGTCATACTCGTGGTAATAACTGGACCCTGCTAGTTTACCAAACATCTTGCCCCAGGAATGATTTCTAAGAGGAAGCTTGTCAGGATCTGATTTTAGCCCATCAATAAAAATTGCATTAATCTAACTCTAATGCGTGTCTCACCCTTTCCAACATATCTCTATACATCTGATGCATGCGTTCGAGTGTTCACTCCAAACAGGTGCTAAACAAGGTGGTTTGTGTCTCGACAGTCTGTTGAGGATTAACTGTGAGAGACACCTGTTCCGCAAACGCCTTGCAGTATATCTTAAAGAAGAACACATGTTGCAGAGACAAATGGGCGACAGTTTATCAACACAAAGGAGTCCTGTTTTCTTCCCTCCACCCTGGGCCCCTGGCCCGAGTGCACTGTGATTTTTTTTTTTTTAAAACTTATTTCTAGGTATGGAATCTGCTGGCATCCATGAAACCACTTACAATAGCATCATGAAGTGTGACATTGATATCCGCAAGGACCTGTATGCCAACAATGTCCTATCGGGAGGTACCACCATGTACCCTGGTATTGCCGATCGCATGCAAAAGGAAATCACTGCTCTGGCCCCCAGCACCATGAAGATCAAGGTAAAGAACCCCTGTGGGTGGGAGAGGCAAGGTGGGTCTTAGGATTGCATGCAGAACTCACACTGTGCTTCCCGTCTCCTATACGCTTTACCTCTTAGCTTTTCTAGCACTTTTCCCAAGATAAGAGACTTTAAAAACATTTTCAAGCAGTGGATAATAATAGATGCTGGAAGAAAAAAAAATACCCTAAATCTTTGAACACATTTTAAAAGTCTCCAACTTTTGGGCTAGCCTCCATCACACATTTAGCTTGTTGCCGCATTATACTCTAGTTCAGAGAAGTGGGGCAATTCTATTTTGTAGAGTCTTTGATAATGGACAGAATGAGCCAGAAGAAAATGCATAAAACTTGATTCCACCATATTAATTTTTGGTATGAAATATCTCATATTTCTGGGGCGCCTGGGTGGCTCAGTCATTGAGCGTCTGCCTTCGGCTCAGGTCATGGTCCCAGGGTCCTGGGATCGAGCCCCGCATCGGGCTCCCTGCTCCGCGGGAAGCCTGCTTCTCCCTCTCCCACTCCCCCTGCTTGTGTTCCTCTCTCGCTGTGTCTCTCTCTGTCAAATAAATGAATAAAATCTTTAAAAAAAAAAAAAAAAGAAATATCTCATATTTCTTTCTGTGAATCTCTCCAGCATGTTGCTTGATCTGTTGCCTGGAGTGTTAGAGTTCACCGGAAACATTTGTTTTCTTTCTGCAGATTATTGCTCCCCCCGAGCGTAAGTACTCTGTCTGGATTGGGGGCTCCATCCTGGCCTCCCTGTCCACCTTCCAGCAGATGTGGATCAGCAAGCAAGAGTATGATGAGGCAGGCCCATCCATCGTCCACCGCAAATGCTTCTAAGGAGCCTTCTCTCTTAGTCTACATTCAGGATGACAGTATTATGCTTCTTGGAGTCTTCTGAACCACCCTCCCTTATCTCTCATCAATCATTGTACAGTTTGTTTACACATGTGCAATTTATTTGTGCTTCTAATATTTATTGCTTTATAAATAAACCAGACCAGGACTTGCAACATACAAAAGACTCTCTCCTTTCTTTTCCTGGGAGGCATGGGGTGGGGCCAGTGTAGGCTTACTTCAGTCTGCGAATTCAAATGCTGGTGGCTTTGCCCCCAGGAGCACTGTAATATCACAGTACCACAAAGTGCGTCAGATGAACTGGTGTGACATTTAGCCGGGAGTTACACTACTAAATATCAGTTTTACACTTTGGAATAGAATCATGAATATATGTCGAATCTGAAAAGTAAATTAGCTTTAACTCTGCATCAGCGATGCACGAAACCGGATTTCACAATTCTTTGGGATTAGTTACTGTGAATGACAGTGAAAGTTGTTGTAGCATATGTTCCAGGTGTTTTTGTAACTTTGTAGAAGCTACATATATATTAGTAATGAGAAAGTCGAAGATTATTTTAAATAAGTTAGCTTAAATTCTCAATTCTAGACTCCTCAGTTGTCTTCCTGAGGGCTATGCGTGTCCATGGTGAAACACGGAGGCTGGCTGACCGTTAGGCCCAGCCATGTCCCATCCCGAATACTCCCGAAACAGATCAAGACCATTGTGCATGTTCGAAATAAATGTGAGGAAACAGGCACCAGATCCTTTTGCCTCATCAGTAACTAATTTGTGGGACAGAGGTCTTTGGGTTCTTCATATCTTTGAAATGTTGGGCCTTGGAGTTGAGTGCAGTGAAGGCTATGAAGTCTGCCGGGAGGTGAAGGGGAGTGAAGCCACAATATTCCCTTTATTCCATGCTGGACTCTTTGCAAAGTATGTTGTGGGGGCTTCTGGAGGCAGCAGCAAAGAATCAGTCGTGCTCTGTCCTTGAGGGGCTCACATACACTACACACAAACTCCCAATGTGTGCGGTCTGGGAAGCTTCAAGGAGATGGACATGGGTCTGGGTCTTGAAGAACGGTTAAGAATCACAGAGGTGAGAAGAGCGGCAGGAAGTATCAGCAGAAGTGGGGCAGAAGCCAGCTAACAAGGCACAGGGCAGGCTGGTGGGAGCTGATGACTTAGGAAATCAACTTGGGAAGGTAAATTTCCACCTGATTGCGGAAGCTCTGAAATTTTTCATTTTCAAGTTAATTGTTCATGAACTGCTGGAGCATTTGAATGGATGTAATTAAACTTTTATCTATTGATGAGGGAATCAAGACAGAAAGATGAAGTAAGGGGTGCAATGTTACACAGCTTGTGGAATACCCAAGATACGAAGCCAGATTTTCTGACATCTAATCTAATGGTGCTTCTCAAACCATCTTTAGTCATAAAACTTCAGTCTTAAACGATACTCATAAAGTTATAAACATAAACATATAGACATAAAGCTTTAGTCATGGTCTTAGTGCATTTTATCACATACGTTTTGGGAGTCTGCATTCAAAATTTTGAGTATTTGGGGCTCATCAGACATCTTTAGTTAAGTTGCCAATATCATTATTCAGAGTCATAATTTTGTCTTTATATTATTCATTCCAAAAGTATCTCTTGATCCGTGACTCTGGGCTAAGCACGGTAGTAGGTGCAGGGGACACAAAGATGGATCAAAGCACATTTTCTGTGCTTAAGAAGTTCAGAGTTTAAAGTCTGTGCTATTATGTTATAGTAGCCTGAGCAAACTAACATAAGATTTTCCCACATGTTGGGCATGATGGTCCAAGATTCATGGTCTAGCAACTTAGCAGCCTCTGGAGCAAAAGAGTGTCTTCCTATGTGATTCTTGACAAAAATTCCAGGGAAGTCTCAGTCTGGCCAGGCTTGAGGACTGAATCATTACCATCCTGACCACGGGAAGGTATGAAAGAGAACTAAACGGCATAAACACCATACCTAATGAGCTAGAGCAGGAGGGAAAATATGGTAGTTTATGGGCGAGGGCTCCAACTTCCAGTTTGAGAGTTTTATTTGATTTAACAGGCCAGGAGAAGAGCTTGAGAAGAGCAATGACTTCACTCACACAAAACTGGGGGGTAAGACTGAGAAGCTTTGGATGGTGGTATGTGTGACTGGCCAGATTTTTTCGAGACTCCACTGTGGAGACCCAGGAACGCAACGATCTCTCTATGACCGGATTAGCTGGGTGTTTAAGAAGAAATAAGTCAGATTCACTTTGTGATTAACATGATACAAATGCTATAAATATTTCCTAGTAACTGATAGCTACTGAAGAAATTTTGAGTCTTTTAGGCCAAAACCAGCAAAGATCGATACTCAATTTAAAGTTGTTAATTTTAAATAGAGAAAAGAGTAATTTTATTTCAGCAAAAAAGCCCTGAGTTTATTCAGAAATAACAGAGGAATCGCAATTTGGGACAAGCAAGCCATGGTGAACCACCAGCCAGTCCAAAGGGACAAAGGGAAGGTCAGCTTTTTTGGGTTTTAGGAGGAAATTGGGGAGGATTGCTTAGAACAAAAGTTTATTGGAGAAGAACAAGAGTTGGAGGTTGTGGTTTCTCACTGGCTGCATGTGGGGGTTAATGCGATGCTGCTGGGGCAGGGAGGGATCTTCCTTCCTTCTCTTAAAAGCAAGAGACAAAATTCCTATGTGAAAAATGTCCTCCCTTGCTGGAGTAATTCTTATCTTCCTTCTTCCCCTGGTTACACAGACTGCAGAGTGGTACATGCATGAGAGCTCCCCCTTCAGGGCTTTCCAGCTCCATTTTAAATGAGATTTCTTTATTTTCACAAGGTCTTGGGGGCTCATTATACAAGGAATTTCTCCTTCTGGCAGAGCTTGGCTGTTGTTATGGCAACCAAACTCCCATTAGGAAGCTACAGGATAAAAGCTCTTGGAGAGATTGCAAAAGTATACTTTTGGTCACTGGTGAGCCCAATGGTAGAAGCAGTTCAGTCATCAGCTGTGTGTGTAATGAATGGATACGACCAAGACTGACCCGGCAGATAAAGAGCTTCAGTTCAAGAACAGCTCTCTCAGTCATCTGGGTTCTGGGCCCTGTCCCCTGCAAAGGAGAGCTGAGTCAGGTGAGAGCTAAGCAGGGCTGGTCTGCAGGACTCCCAGCAGTGTTGTTTGCCTATGGCTCAGCATTGTTTCACGGCAGCTTCCATGGGAATCAGGGTTGGGGAGGGGAGACAGAAAGAAAACAGACGGGAAGGTTGCAATAAAGCTGAATTACAATAGGGCATTAGTAGTAGATGAGAAATGGACTCTGCAGTGAAGTGTAAGCAAGGCCTTGGGTCAACATGTTCACTTGAAGAACTTTGGAAATACTACTGGATAATGACAGGGTAGGCATCATGTAGGGTAGGATTTGAGAGAGCAGGCATTATGTAGGAAGTTCAAAAGCAAATCTGACTTAGGCACAATAGTGAAATTTTCCCAAGACACCTTTAACTCTAGGATCTACCTTGTGAACTTCTTTTCCAGGGTCTACCACCCAATGCTGTCTACCAGGGACACTCTCTCTACCACTCATATCTTGATGACACTTAACCTTTACTTACATTCCTCTAGAGAAGAGACCATGTTAATTAACATGTCAGTTACCTAATCTATGTTCCTAGGGGAAAGTTAGAACATATTTTCCCACTAGAGAACATACCCATAATTTAACAACAGTTTTCTGTATATCATTTATTATTATTATTATTATTATATCATACTAACCTGAAGGTTTGATGTTGCATGAGCTTTCAATCAAAAAGATTAAGTTCAAATCCTGGTTTTGTCACTGACTAGTTGAGCGTCTTTTAAGTAAATAACTTAACCTCTCTGAACCTCAGAACAGAGGGGCTAACTTAAATCATGCCCCCAGGGGCGCCTGGGTGGCTCAGTTGGTTAAGCGTCTGTCTTCGGCTCAGGTCATGATCCCAGGATCCTGGGATCGAGCCCCGCATCGGGCTCTCTGCTCAGCAGTAACTCTGCTTCTCCCTCTCCCTCTGCCTACCGCTATGCCTACTGGTGCGCTCTCTCCCTCTCTCTGTGTCAAATAAATAAATAAAATCTTTAAAAAAAAAAAAAAAAAATGGGTTTCATAAGCAGCAATGACAGGATGTGCTCTGGGTTGGATGGGGCAGGCAAGAAAATGAAGGAACCACTGAAGCTACCCAGACTGCTGGCTTGAATGGACTATGTGTTTTCAAGGAAATGAAAATTTCAAGGTAATTCAAATGCAGCTCCAGTCCTACATTGGATCCAAAGATGGGATTTGCCTTGAGTCTTGAAAAGTGTTAAGGGTTTGGGAGAAAGGGAGGGAGACTGAATGAGCAGAGAGTGGTTTGGGAGACATGAAAGTAGTGGGGAGACCTGACAGGAGCAGAGAGTATGCGTGGGGAGGCAGCAGTCAGGTAGATTGGGATCCAGTAGGATGAGGACTAGGGCATGGGCTTTGGAAACACGGGAGGGCAGTGTTCTTCCCTAATAAATACAAATGATGATAGAACGGCCCTACAAAGTTGCTGTGAAGATGAAATGGGCTGAAGTTGATACTACGCTCGGACCTTGACACAGAGTAGGACCTTCACTGGTGCTCTATAATCATTGTTATTAACATTTTTACACTTATATATACTTCTTTATATATAGTATATGTAATATGTATTATACATTATACACACATGTGTGAGTGTGTGTGCATGCACACATAAGAATTGAAAGACCAGTGTGGAAATTTGGATTTGATGTGAGAGAATATGTGTTTTCTGCTGAGGTGTTTCCTGAGAAATGATAATATTTAAAGAAAGTGAACTCTGGCATTTGGATCCAGAATGGGCTAGCGAGCAGAGATACTTGCTGAACGACTCAACAGTCCCAGAGCAACTAGAGAATTCAGGGAGCACATGCTCCAAAGGCTGAGAACGTAAAGCTATACTCTCCTTCATCTGCCAAAGGAGAGATGGACCTAAATAACTTCATGACTTCAGGGCATAGGGTTCAAAGAGTTCAATTAATAATCACCATGGCCTACATTACAGGGCCTTTTAAAAAAAATCTAAATTGGCTTCCTGAATTCCCACTTTTCGTAGCACATTGAGCCCCCTCTCAAGTTGAAGCAACTTATTTTAAATCTGTTTAAATCTTACAGTAAAGAGTAGCCACATTCTCTTTTATACCCACTACTCTGGAGTGTCAATGCCATTGTGTTATAATAGCCGGTTTGATTTTAATACATAAAAGGGAGCTTTGTCACTGAAATATAGTATGAGGATTCCAGTTTTTAAAAAGAAAACCATAGGTTGGTAGGGATGAGAGTTTCAGCAGGAAGAACTTGATGAGTGTTTACTCCAAATATAAATCTTAATAGGATATAAAATATAAAATATATACCCAAACTCTTAAGAGAAAGAAGCATGATACAAGGAATTAAAAATCTACTGTAGGGGCGCCTGGGTGGCTCAGTTGGTTAAGCGACTGCCTTCGGCTCAGGTCATGATCCCGGAGTCCCGGGATCGAGTCCCGCATCGGGCTCCCTGCTCGGCAGGGATTCTGCTTCTCCCTCTGACCCTCCCCTGTCTCATGCTCTCTCTCAAATAAATAAATAAAATCTTAGGGGCGCCTGGGTGGCTCAGTTGGTTAAGCGACTGCCTTCGGCTCAGGTCATGATCCCGGAGTCCCGGGATCGAGTCCCGCATCGGGCTCCCTGCTCGGCAGGGATTCTGCTTCTCCCTCTGGCCCTCCCCCCTCTCATGCTCTCTGTCTCTCATTCTCTCTGTCTCAAAAAAATAAATAAAATCTTTAAAAAAAAAATCTACTGTAATACTCACATGTTGAATTGAAGCCTCCATCAGCCTGGGTTCCCACAGGATTAGAATGAGTAGTGCCTCCTGCAGACACAAAGCGTCTTAAGTGAGAAATACGCTGTTAAGTTAACCATGAGCTTGTTTGTTACCACTGCATAACCTAGCTTATTCTAACAGGTAGCACCAGCTTCCGACCCTGACCCCCCCAGGATTTCACTTGGCTCTAGGGCTCTGAGGCGACTGTATGCCAGCTGAATAATACATTTAAAATAATCACTGTAACCCAGGATTTTTGTTCTTTCACGTGGGACAGTAGTTCAAGGTGTCCAAAGTGCCACACTAGCAGAAACGGAAGTCTGGTATTGGGTAATTTTATTCACTTTGCGGGGGGAGGTTGTTTTTCTTTGGCATACGAATCAAGTAGAAGATCTATCGGAAGTTACATCTTGTTGGTTCAACATGTGGGCAGCATGCTCAGGAAGTAAAAATGAAGGGTCTCATCCAGGTTACTTTGCTTTATTTTGTGTCCAAAGTTTGCAACCAATCCTGCCTCATCATTGAATTGGATTATCTTATTTTTTTAAACAAAAGCTTTAAGATATAATTCACATCCCATACAATTCAGTCATATAGAGTATACAATTTAATTAGTTTTTAGCATATTCATAGACAGATGCAGCCATCACCACAGTCAATTTTAGAACATTTTCATCATCTTAAAAAGAAATCTCATACCCTTTAGCTCTTATTCCTGTGTACTCACGTCTAGAAGGACTGATGAGATGATCCAGTTGCATATTCCTTCTCTCCGGGGAAGAGTAAAATTATGACCTTGTCTTAATAAAGTCCCCCTGTTGCAAGAAAAATAAGGGAAACCATCAGGGCCTTTGCTCATGGGATTCCTTCTGCATAGGCCTCTTTCCTCATCACGGCCAAAAACCTCCTCTGCACACAGAAGACTTCTAGAAACACTCATTTAAGTTAGACTCTTGCTTCATTGCCACCCTTGGTTCATTTCCTTTGTATCACATATTATATCATCTTTTGTTTTAACTTTATTGAGGTGTAGTTTATATACAGTAACACATGTCCATTTTAAGCAAGCAATTCAATGAGTTTTGACAAATGTGTATACCCAGTAACCACCACCCCAATCAAAACATAGCACACATTCTATCCCCTCTCAAATTCCCTCCTGTTCCTCCAAATTCAATCCTCTCCACCTCAGGGCGCCTGGGTGGCTCAGTTGGTTAAGCGACTGCCTTTGGCTCAGGTCATGATCCTGGAGTCCCGGGATCGAGTCCCACATCAGGCTCCCTGCTCAGCAGGGAGTTTGCTTCTCCCTCTGACCCTCCTCCCTCTCATGCTCTCTGTCTCTCATTCTCTCTGTCTCAAAAAAATAAATAAAATCTTTAAAAAAAAAAAACAAAAACAATCCTCTCCACCTCAATCCCAGGCAATCCTTTCTAGCACTATAGATTAGGTTTTTTATTTTTTATGTTCAGTTAGCCAACATATAGTACTATAGATTAGTTTTGTCTGTTCTTGAATTTCATACTAATCATAATTTAAATTGTTAGCTTACTTATTTCTTTTGTCTCTATTACTAAACTTTTTTAAAAACATGATTTTCTAGCACAGCATGTCTAGCACAGAGCCAGACAGTGTCAGAAAGAATGAATCCCAAATCATTCTATTTCTCAACTTTAATTTTTTAGAAAATTGAAGCATCTAAATATTTGACAGTAACAGTGAGAACTTTTTTGTGAGGGCAACAAACAGAAGTCCCTGGTTCATCTCTTTTGCTTTCTTGCCCTCCCTGCCCTCCCCTTTTTCATCACAACAATATCAATAGTAGCCAAGTGGGGGAGAAAGCTGTGTACAAGTCACATTCTTTTGCCTTTGGACAAAATGTATTATCATTTTGAATGAAAGGGTAGAAATAGCCTCATTCATTTGTAATGTTTTGTAACTTTCAACTTTGAGCTTTCCACTTTGTCAATGAAGACAGGTTCTCAGGGTTTCTTGCAAATCCATCCATGCCTTTGACAACAGAATATGTGATCAACTCAAACCACATCTCTATTTCTGAAAATATATTCAAGATTGGTGTCCCATCAGCAATGTCATGGCAGCTCTGTTAATTTTTGACAAAATATTTCTTAAAACCCTGCCTACCCTAAGGCGGAGAGTCAGGGATTTTTTTTTTAAGACTTATTTATTTATTTGAAAGAGGGAGTGAGAGAGTGAGTAGGGGGGAGGGGCAGAGGGAGACAGAATTCTCAAGCAGACTCCCCGCTGAGTGAAGCCAGACCAGGGGCTCAGTCCCAGGACCCTGAGATCATGACCTGAGCCAAAATCAAGAGTCAGATCCTTAACCTACTGAGCCACCCAGGCACCCCAATTTTTGACAAAATATTTGTTACTATAATATAATCAAACTTGAAGCACATACCTATGAACTGACACCTCTCATTCATGCACAGGGGAGGATGGGGTCACGTTCGGCATCTCTATCTTATAGATGGAGGAGCTGAGGCACAGAGACCCGAGCTGAGGCACAGAGTCCCTTTTACGAGGTGTTCTTCCTTGCTTCTTTGCACGCATCCACAGCAGGCAGTATGTGCATTCCCTTCAGCCGAAGTTCTAAATCTCTTTCTCTCTCAACTATCTAGGACACATGAGAATTAACCTACTCATGTAGATTACAGGGCCCCAGCCCTCATTAACCTTAATATTGAAAGAAATACAGCTTTTACGGTAGGGGAAGTGGAAATGCCCTTCCACTCCGCACAAATAGCAACATTGGCATGAGACGAGGAAATGGACTTTTTAGGAGGTAATTACGCAATGGAAACGTTTGTTTGCAGTCAGTGAACATTTCCCTGGATTTGTGGACCCCTTTTTTAAGGTGTTATAAAATTGCCTCCCTAGGCTTGAAGCTGTGAATATTTCAGGTCAGTTGAGAACCTTATTGAGAGGCCCCAGGAAACCCCTGGGGGAAAAAAGCTTAGAAGGAGAACTGAGGCACACCTCATAGATGCTGCTTGCACCAGCACTATGCCTTTTCTGGAAGAGGCAGTCATGTTATCTGGTTTAGTTCAAAGTTCCCTTCCGCCATTCCCTTTTTACCTCATCCCCCTTTAGAGAACACAGAAGGATAGAGCTGGGTGGAACCCGAGAACTTCTAGTCCAAACCTTGTTTCACAGATGAAGAAACTGAACTCTAGGGGTGAGGACTTAGGTACCCAAGAGATCCTCTCTTGTCATGCTGTCTGTCACATCCCCACAGGAACCAGGCATTGGGGTCACAGACAGGAAACCAGGATACAAAGAAGTCAAGCATCGCACGCAGAGCCTCTGACAATATCATTAGTGAATGAGGAATAAACACAAACGCTCCTCCTTCCCTCTCAGTACTTTACTTCTTAGGATTGGACCAAGTAAGTCAACATTTAGATGGAGTGTGTGTGTGGTGGGAGGGACCAGGATGGGGGAGCCGCCAATTTCCTTTGTGGTCCTGTCCCTTTCTCCAAGGCCACTTCAGGCAGACAGAGGTGGCCCTGCTGCGTTGTCAATATTGTCCCATGCACTTCTGCAAGCTTTTCCTGCTCCACTAGACCACACCACCCAGCATGTTCCCAAGAATGGCTCTAGGTGGTTTCAGACGTTACATACAGGACTTGGCCATCCCTTCACAAACTCCAGCTTCAAGTGCAGTGTGGAATTTGAACTAGAGACTGAGCTCCTATGGAGAAAAAACTAAACTGAATTAAATGAAGACCTTATAAGGTAGGAGAAATCATTTGTACCCCTATGTAAGGAGACAATACATTTAAGGCTAAAGACTAGTATAGTTCCTATATAGAGCACGTATCTAGTAACCAGTAGCCATTTTAAACTTTCTGCTTTAAGTTTTTGAACAATTACTCCTACTGTTCTCTCCAACTCTTCTTTGTCCTTCATGACTTGCCCCTGCCAACTTCAAAAAGAAAAGATAAGCCAGAGACTGAAACTCCCTGCAAAAGTGCAAATTTAAGTCTTTCCACTAGAAACCACTCTGCCTCAACCCAACATTCCACTGGAGTTATTGTTCTCTTTCTCTTTTCCATAGTCAGACCCCTCAAAAGGGCTGCCTCCTTTTCCTTAGTGCCCACTCACTTCTCAGCCCACTCCAACCTGTCACTTCACCCCACCGACACAGCTCTTGTGAAGGTCTCTGATGACGTACATGGTGCCTCTTCCAGAGAGCCTTTTTCAATCTGCATCACAACTGATGACTGCCTCTTGTTGAAATACCTTCTTTCCTAGCTCTATTCTTGGTTTTCCTCCAACTTGTTGCTTTTCCGTATCCTTGGCAGGTTCATCTTCCTCCTACCAGCCATAACAGAACTTGTCAGGACAATGACTTGGGCCATCTTCCCATGCCACAGTGTCTCCCTAAGTTACTTTACCCATGTCCCCAGGGATTGATTCCCACCTTTATATTTCAAACATTTATATTCAACTACCTTCTTGAATTTCTACTTGGATCTCAAAGGCACTTTAAATTCAACTTGTCCAAAAAGCAAACTCAAAATCTTCACCTCCAAACCCGGCCTTATTCTCATCTCTCTGAAATGGCGAGAGTCCACACAGGGATGCAAGGACTCATCTTTGCACCTCTTTCTGTCTCACTTCTCATGGCCAATCTATCAGCCAGTCCTTTTGAATGTTCTTCTAAAAATCTCTTGATTCTGGTGGAATGTATTTCACCTCCACCTCCTCCTTTTCCTCACAGTCCCAGTCTCACCCGACACTACAATAACTCCCACATATCTTCTCTTGCTCCCGTGTCCTCCCTCTACAAATAATCAAGAGCAATCTTCTCATACTGCAACTCTGACTAATCTCCCCCTGCCAAATAAAACCTTTCAATGGCTTTCTGCCTCTTTGAAGGTAAAGACCAAGCCCTTCAAGCAGCCTGGAAGACCTAAATAATCTGGCCCTCTCTTCTTGTCCAACCCCCTTCTTGTACCCCTTCCCCAGCCATAGCCCTACTGCCTTATATATGTCTACATGCACTGCCAAGGTTTTGCATATGGTGACCTCTCCATTTAAAGTGCTACCTTCCTCCCCACTCCTGCACTCCCCCACTGCCCTCCTTGAATTTACCACAGTTAAAATTTATGTCTTTAAGAATAATTATTTGATTAACATTTGCCTTCCCTTCAGACCATTAGTTCTGGGAGGACAGGAAACCTGTCTGTTTCTGCTCATTGTATCATCTTCAACACTTAACATTTGGCTTGCCATACAGGTGTTTAAAACATTTTTCAGATAAAAGAAATTTTTTTTCAGTACCAAATTCCTTTGTACTCCTCCTCAGCCCCCTTCTCTGGCTTTTGGTTTTGTTTTGTTTTTTTCCATTCTCCTGAAACTGGTGCCTGTTCTTCTGATCCATGATTCTGTGTTTTTTGTTTGTTTGGTGTTTTTGTTTTTGAGCGGGGTTGGGGGGCAGGTACAGGGAAGGGCAGAGGGAGAAGGAGAGAGAGAATCTTAAGCAGGCTCCATCCTCAGTGTGGAGCCCTACATACTTTTTCTCAAAAACATATTTTGCTCTCCCTCCCCCTACCTGGGGCTCCATCTCACAACTCTGAGATCATGACCTGAGCCAAAATCAAGAGTTGGACACTTAAATGACTGAGCCACCCAGGCACCCTTGATTCTGTGATTTTTATACATTTCCCGAATATCTATATATCTGCTAAATATCCCTGTAGAAAACATAGGTTATGGTTTCCTCTGCTTAACTTTTATACAAATTAAGCCATAGTCTACTTATCACCCTGTTTTCTCACTCAACATTTGGTTTTTGAGATCTATTTTTATTGATAGATATAGATATAGATGAAGATAATTTCATTCATTTTTTACTACTAGATACTATGCATCAAATGAATAAATCACATTCTGATACTTCTATCATTGAATTTTGCAGTTTTTTAAATATACTATGTTTTTTGTTTTGTTTGTTTAGTTTCCGTGTCTTCCTTTACCGACAATTTAGGCTGAATGTTGGTGTTCTCCCAAAATTCATATGTTGAATGAATAGCTAAAGAGAACTACCGTAGGTTCTCCATCCCCAGTGTGATGGTATTTGGGGGTAGGGCCTTTAAGGGTAATGAGATTTAGATGAGGTCATGAGGATGGGCTCCTCATGATTCGATTAGTGCCTTTATAAGAAGAGACACCGGGGAGCCTGCTTTCTCTCTCCTCCATCTGAGGCATTAGCAAGAAGGTGGCCATCAGCAATCCAGGAAGAGAGCCCTTACTAGGAATTGAATAGGCTAGGAGCTTGATTTGGGGACTTCCAAGAACTAAGAGAAAATAAATTTTTGTTGTTTAAGCTATCCAGTCTATGTGATGGCAGCCTGAGCAGACTAAGACACTGACTTCTAGTGAACTGATGTTTTCTCTACTAACTTTTTTCTCTAGTAGTCTGGAAGTTTTACATTCCATTTCTATTCATTTGTGTTTGCTCTTAAGCATTTAATACACATTTAACTGAACACAGTCAAAGTTATTTTCTATGCCCCCTTGTTAGGGTTGGTTTTTTTTATTTGTTTTTATCCCCACTTTGTCCACAGTAAGTATTTACAGTATATACTTACCTCTATAAACAAGACTACCTTTTTTTTCATAATTTTTTTTCTCACATTCCACTCTGGACTTAATTTCTTTCTTGACTGATAGTTCTTCATAATTCTTTCAGTGAAGGTCTATGAAGAGGAAACCCTTTCATTCTTTGTCTCAAAAACATATTTTGCTCTCCCTCTCTAACAGAGTTGGGTATATAAGCATAGAAAAATCACTGCAAGGCAGTGCTTCTATCTGGATGGAGAACCTACGGTAGTTCTCTTTAGCTACTTGTATACTCTAGTTCTTCTAAGCTCAATATTATTTGTGTAATTTCTCCGAAGTTAAAAAGCACCCAGTGACACACAGTAAGACATGAAATACTTTGACCACTGGCTCATCACATCAGTGCCAACTCTTCATGTATTCTGATCATGTCTCTGCAAGATTTTCTTTGGGAGAACCACTGAAGGTGACACTGTTGCCATGGCCACAGAAGTAATTCCCTTCGGTATTAAAATGGAAGAGTCACGCCACTCTAGGCTCAGGTTTCAGTTACTCGGGGCTGCATTTATTTGCACAACTTCAACGCAAATGTATCTTTAATCCTGCTTTCAACGTGATATTAGAAATTCTCCTCAGTGACGGAATGGAATGGCTGCCTTCATGTGAGACTTGAGGCTGAAGTGTGAAAGAATCATAGCGGGCACCCACTGTACTTGGGAAGTGTGGCTACATCCCCTCTCTGCTTTCAAAGCAGATTTTTTTATGCAAATGATGCTCCAGTTGGCGTGGAGAGCAGCATCTGTGCATGGGATGGAAATCCAGAGCAGAATCCAGGTCCCCTCCAGAGTCACCAGATTTCAAAGAACAACAGTGAAAATTAGATTTCTAGAGAGAGATCGCAGCCAGTGACACTGAGTTAACATCATTTTTCCAGTTGCTTGAGGAACTGGTCAGCTGGAGAGCTCTGAATTCTGTTCTCAGAGAATTTCAGTTAGTCAATTAGTCCACACTGCTATTTTATTTTTAGCAGATTATGTTTAGATTCTT